ACACCATTATATTTTTGGCTGTTATAATCCACTGCAAAATCGTCTTGGGCTTGTAGCCATTAAAAATCCTCAGATCTTTTTATTTTATTTTATTTTAGAACAACTGCTAGTTAACCTATTAGGTAGGTGCAATTATCCATTTTCCATCAGCAGCTCTGCACTCCATGGAACATCAGACTTCCTCTCGGATAAGCTGATCACCTGAAATCTCATCACCTGAAATCTCATCACCATGCAGATTTTTAAATACTCATCAACTTCTGGACTTTCTCAGTTAACTCATCCCATAACCCTCCATTATAGAGGGCTCAGAACTTTGCAGGTAACTCTCCATTTTCCATCAGCAGTTCTATTTGGTTTCCATCACGTCCCTGATAGATAACCTCTGATGCCCCTTCTCCCTTATTTAGATTCCTTTTGTGTTATTCTTCACTAGATTATAAAATCCTTGATGCAGGGATTATCTTTCTCTTTCACATTTGTATTTCCATCACTTCAAGCAGTAGCTGCACAGTACCTTCACACAGTGCATAGTAGGTACTTAAATATTTGTTGAATTGAATTGAATATATGAAGTTGATTTTTTTTTGGTGCCCAAGTATAGGACTTCATATTTTTCCTTTTAAAATTTCATACTATTGGATTCAGTCCAATGCTTTGGCCTGTCAAAATCTTTTCCAATCCTGACTCAGTCATCCAGTGCATTAGTTATCTTTCCAAGCTTTGTGCCATCTACAAATTTCATGAACTTTTAAAATTCAAGTCATTGATAAAAATGTTAAATAGCACCAGATTTTTGAGGTTCTGTACTGGAGATTTTCTGACACATTAACATCAAACCTTTTATAAGTATTCTTTGAGTCTCTTAAGTCTGAATTAATCTACTAATGTTGATCATTCTTTACCTCCCTATCTTTTCCAAAAGTATTATTGATTAGTCCATGTGTCTTTATCTTCTCCCATATAAGATCAGAGTATCCTTTCCCCACCTCTTAGTCTCACAAATGAGCACTGGTCCCAGAGCAAGGCTACATTTTCCACTCAGAGTTTTAGGGGTACTCCTGAAGAGTTGGAAGTGATTCTCTAATGCCATCAGTTTGAATCCCCACCAGTGTAAAAAAGAATGGAAATGGATAACTCTTGTCTGTCAACTCAAACCCAGTTGAAATTATTCTTCCTCCTAGGCTCTTAGATGGCATGTCTGTGGATTCCTGCCAAGATTATCAATTGAGGATTGTTCAAGTAGCTTTTAGAAAGGAATATTTACTAAGGTGACACAGTAAGAGTAATTGCTATGAAACATCCCAGGAAAAGCATGACACATTCTTCCTCAAATACATATAAAGTCCAGGGGAAAGTAGACTAGCTTTTATAGCACACGTAGTAAAAGAGTAACTCACAGCTCCTTGTTGTTGGAAATCTTTTCCCCTTATTGGTGGGGTGCTCAAGAAGTGTTCTTTAGACATATTGTAATGTCTTTTCTGGGCTCCTCATAGAGCCAAGGATCTGTCCTTGCCTCCCAATGAAGACATTTCAGTCAGCTGATCCAAGGATAGTCTTCAGACACTGAATAAAATATGGAAAGTCAAGCATCCTCAAAGATCAAGAGGTCCTTCTCTGGTTAAATGGTCAAAGGTAAGATTTAGGGTAAGACTAAAGTGAAGGGCTCCTTCTTCCTTAACATCCCCTTCCCCACTGCCCAAGACAATTTCTCCTCAACAGTGTATAGGAAAGTTCTCTCGTGGCTATCTACTTGCTTGGATTCCCTGATTATAGCTAACTTGTTGCTTCCATACAAACCCCAGAAGGGATACTGAAATCACTCATCCAGTTGAAACACACTTCTTGTCTGGCATAATTTCTCTTTGTCTAATGGCTTTCAAAGGTTTTTTTTTTTAACTTTATCTAAAACTTATGATTGAGACTGATTGATTAAGCATCTCATCATTCACTTTAGGTTAATTTACTCAATCATTATATGTTTACAATAATATGATCTACTTTATCAAAATATTTGCCATAATCTAGATAAACTATATCCACAGCATGCCCATATTCTACTTATGTAGTCCTCCTTTAAGGAGAAGAAAGAAGAAGAAGGAGAAGTAGAAATAATGGAAGAGGAAAGAAAGGAAGGAAGGAAGGGAGGAAGGAAGGAAGGAAGGAAGGAAGGAAGGAAGGAAGGAAGGAAGGAAGGAAGGAAGGAAGGAAGGAAGGAAGGAAGGAAGGACAAACCTGTGGTTAGTTAGCTTGACATAACTTGATCTTGATGAAGCCATGCTGGCTCTTTGTAATCACAGCTTTCCTGTATAGAGCTTTGCCAACCACTTCTTAATGATCCATTCTAGAATTTTCCCAAGATTCAAAGTCAAACTCCCTAGGCTATAGTTTGCAGACTCTTCTTTTTTTTCTTTAAATAACAATACTACTTACCCTTCTCCAGTCTTGTGGTCTCTCCCAGTTTCCATTGTTTTCAAGTAGACTAATAATAGCTAAAATTTATATAACTCTTACTATGTGCCAAGCACGGTGCTAAGTGCTTTATAATTGCTCTTTCATTTGATTCTCACAACAACCCTAGGAGGTAGATGTCATTATTATCCCCATTTTGCTGAGAAAAACTGAGGCAAAGAGAGGTTAAGTGACTTACACAGAGTCATGCCATAGGGCTTCCTGATTAAAGGCCCAGCTCTTCATCCATTGGCCCAACAAGCTGCCTCACATATTACTAACAGGAGCTCAGTTATTATCTATGCTAGTTTTTCTTTTCAGGTCTCAAAGATATATTTCATCTCAGCTAGGTGACTCTAATTCATCAAGCACAACTAACTATTCTTTTAATACCTCCTTTTTTATATCCCATGTATACCAGAATATTCATAACAATGCTTTTTTGTGTGATATTAAAACAAAACAACCCCCTCCTCCCAAAACTAGAGAGGTATCTGTTTACATCTAAATAAATTGAGATTATATGAATATTATGGAATATTACAGGGAGCAGCTAGGTGGTACAGTGGATAGAGTGCTGGGCCTGGAGTCAGGAAGACTCATCTTCATGAAATCCATTTTGGCCTCAGACAAGTGCTAGCTATGTGACCCTGGGCAAGCCACTTAACCCTGTTTACCTCAGTTTCCTCATCTGTAAAATGTGCTGGAGAAGGAAATGGCAAACCACTCACTCATCTTTGCCAAGAATACCCCAAATGATATCATGAAATATGAGACACAAATGAAAAACCACAAATGAACAATTATTGGACCTTAATAAATGACAAATGTGAGAAATTCAGAGAAACGTGGCAAGATTTGTATGAACCAGTGCAGTATGAAGTATGCAGAACCAGGAGAATAATATACAAAATATAATTATTACTGTAAGTGAAAACAATACTGAAGTGATGTCATAGTATGTGTAAATGGTCAAAGAGAAGAGATGAGGAAATATGCCTCTCTCATTTTGTTGAATATTTGGGGGCATGGGGAGATGGAATAATGTGTAAACTGGCAGATAGTTTCTTTGAGAGTTGATTGTTTATCTCTTGGTGAGAAGGGAAGACTCACAGGATTATAGGAGAAAGCAGGATATTTAGAAATGACTGTGATGTAATAATAAAAGGCATAAATAAATTGTATTATTATTTTCTTGATTTCTTTCTTTTTTTTTAAGGCAATAGGGGTTAAGTAACTTGCCTAGGATCACACAGTTAGTGTCTGAGGCCAGATTTAAGCTCAGATCTTCCTGACTCCAGGGCTGGTGCTGTATCCACTGTGCCATCTAGCTGCCCCTAAATTGTACTATTTAAAAAAGCATAAAAACACCCTCCCCCCCCAACATGTTTATCAGTCCATTTACCCTTCTAGTGGAGAATACATAGAAAATACTCCAGTGGGTTGTTATATGTGTTCCTTTGATGCAAATTCTAAAAAATAAGAAAATTTATACAGTAAATATTTCTTCTTCCTATTTTTTTTTAAAAAATCCCATTCCTCCCCTGAAACAAAACCCTTCACGTGGATTTTTTTTAAAACAATTTTCAGTTGGAACTAAAAGGCTTCAAAAGAAACTTAACAAGTCTATACTGTATAGTCCATCTTCTGCCTTCAATACCCTTGACTTACGAGTTGCAACTTAACCAGTCCTTAAAGACATAACCAAGAGATCCCACAAAATACTTCTGCAATTATGTTGGCACATTGGGCTACCTACATCATCAAGAAGTTCACCCTTGTATCTAACAGAAATCTTCCCAGCTGTAGTTTTAGACTATTTTCCCCTCCCCTTTGTTTTACTTAAAACAGAGACCATGGCTTATTGTCTGGAGGATGGTGATTATTGTACAGAAGTTAGAGATCAGCTCACATATAAATTTTTTAACTTGATTTCACTTTTTAAATTGTCTATAAAATATGTGTGTTGCTAGGTAGAGTTTTTTTGTAAACTGGATTAGAGAACATTGGCAAAAAAAATGTTAATGTTAATGATAATTATCCTTATATTAGCAGCATAATTGAACACTTTAACAGTTTTATTTCCTTAATAGTTTATAAACTGTAAACATGAAACAAATTAACAGCAACAAAAATGAAAGAATAGTGGAATATTTAAATATGGGGTACCTTTGGAGATTTGTCATGATAAATTAAATTTCGTATAGTAAAGAAACAGTGGAGTAGAGGTTATATAGAAAAGGAAAGTGAGGAAATGATTCCAACTACCGCCATTCTACAACAACAGAAGATGTGTAACTAAAGGTTATAAAAAGAACTATTGAGTAATAGCTAATAATAATACCAAGCATGTATATAGTGCTTTAAGGTTTGCAAATTTGATCTCATTTTATCCTCACTTTTACCCAGGGAGCTATTGTAGACAGATAGTCCATTTAAAATGTAGGTTCTAGATTTTATTGGATACATCTATGAGTTTACCCCATCTATTATTACTTTACATGCATTTCCTTGGTATATCTCTTTAATTCACTCTCCTCTGTTCTTAGGTCTTTTCAAGATTATGACTGATAGAATACCATATCATACGATGGGTGACATTACAAGAGCAGTTTATATTGGTCCAAACCGGCTAAGTCACCCTTGCTTCTACCATCAGAAGGATATAAACTTGGGGAATCTCACCATCAGCCCTGGTGAACCCATCATGCTCAACTCCATCGAAGAGATCAATGGGGAAATGATGGTGAACTGTGGAGTGGTAAGGGACAATCAGAATCATTCATTTACCATACCATTGTCGCAAGAAGGAGAGTTCTATGAGTGTGAAGATGAACACATGTACACCCTAAAAGAGATTGCAGAGTGGAAGATTCCCAAGAGCAGGAAACGGATTGTGAAATTTACAGATATTTCCAATAAGTGGAACTCCATTTATCCACTACCTAAGGATTTTGATGGCTTGCTTAGTCTCACACCCATCTATGAAATACAAGCAGTGATGAAATGTAAGTATTTGCTGAGGTTAATGTCCTATAAACTTGGACACAATGTACATCAGTGCTACTAAGCAGTATCTAGGATGAACTATGATTTAGAAGTGAATTACTATGGAAAAAAAACAATTCAAAGTATGCAGAGTACCATGCTTAACGTGGGGAAAGATATATAACAGATATATAAGAAATGGTTCTATGCATTCACTGATTACAGTCTGATGGAGGGGTCAGAATAATACACAATATAAAGTAGATCTAGATAAGTAGAAAGGAAAACTACAGAGTACTATTTTGAGGTATGAAATGGGAAAGAGAATTTTTTAAATTTGAGGCACTAGAGAAGACCTCATGGACGAGGTATCATTTAAGTTGGTTCTAGAAGGTCAGATGAGAATTCAAAAGGTTGAGATTGCATTGGAGAGGACATTCAACTAGGTGAGAAACATTTTTGTTTGTTCTTCATATCACTCCGTAATCTGGCCCCATATGGCTTTGCTTAAACTGCCCCCATGCCTAGAAAGCACTCTATCCCTATCTCTGCCTCTTAGAAACTCGGACTTTCTTCAAAACTCAGTCACAGTACCTTGCCTATATAAGGTATCTTAACTTATATATAGATAAATTACCTACATAAGGTAAGACTTTTCCAGATTCACCACACACTTAACTACTATCATGTCCCCTCCACCTAAATTACCTAGTATTTATTGTTCAGTTGTGTCTGACTCTTCATGACCCCATTTGGGGTTTTCCTGGAGGAGATAGTGAAGTACTTTGCCATTTCCTTCTCCAGTTCATTTTTCACAGTTGAGGAACTGAGGCAAACAGGGTTAAGTGACTTGCCCAGGGTCACACAGCCAGTAAATGTCTGAGGGTGGATTTGAACTCATGAAAATGAATCTTCCTGACTCCAGACCCAGCACTCTATCCACTGTGCCACCTAGCTGCCCAGCCTAGAATGTACTCTGTATATATTTTGTATTTATGTGTACATATAAATGTTTTTTCCATGATAGGATATAATCTCCTTGAGAACATGGGCTATTTTATTTTGCTTTTGTATCACCAGCAACTCACATAGTTGATCAGTCGATTCAATCAACAAACGTACATTGGCAGCTAGGTGGCACAATGGATAGAGCTCTGGACCTGAGGTCTGGAAGATCTGAGCTTAAGTCTGACCCCAGTCACTTACTAGATGTGTGACCCTAGACAAGTCACTTTTATCTCACTCTGCCTCAATTTCCACATCTTTAAAATGGTAATAATAACAGCACATGTTTCAGAGTTGTTACTAAGATACAGTGTCCCAAAAGCAGGAATGTGTGGAAGCCAACTAGAATTAATTCTCTCTAGCCAATTGGAAACTTTTTGTTTGAGTGTTTACACCTCAGAAATTGAAGAAAATGTGAATAATGTTGATTAAACCTAAAAGTGTGTCTTGATCACATTTTCCCTCCCTGGAGAGCCAGGTGTTAAAAACTTATCAGCATGCCCATGCCTGAAAGTCTTAGTGAAGACTTCTGGGGCACCACCCTGTATTTGAAATATAAAATGTAAATGCTTGTTGTTGTTGTTAAGCATCCACTATATGTCAGTCACTGGGACTGTGCTGAGGACATTAATACAAAAAATGAAACAACCCTTATACTCAAGATACATTCTCAAGGAGCACAGTTCCTAGAATACAGAAGGTACTTAATACAGGCCTCCTGACTAATTAATTTCTAGCTTTACACATCTCCCAGTGTTCTGACCAAACTAGACTGCATATTGTTTCCTGAACAAAATCCTCCACTGTTCTGACTAAGTTTTCAGTTCATCTCCCTACCTAGAATGCCTAACGCTTCATAATTCAACTCCACCCCACTTGTGAAATTTTACCCATCCTTCAAGGCCTAACTCAAATAGTATATCTTTCTTGAAGTCTTTCTTGATCTCTTGCAAGAAGATACATCCTTTACCTTATCTTACTTTGCATAGAATATAGTATGTCTCTTAATAAGTGCTGTTTATACATTCTACAAGGTTTGTGAAACACTTTACTTGCCTTATCTCATTTGATTTTTATAATTATGTAAGGTAGATACTACAGTATAATTACTCCCATTTTATAGAATAGAAAGCTGAAGCTCAGATTGTGATTCACCCAATTTGGAACCCAGGTCTTTCCTGCTTCCAAGTCCAATGCTTTATCCACCAAATGTAGTATTTATCTATTTCTTGTACTTATTTGTACATTTTTCAGAAACATTTTTGCATTTATCCCTCAATTAATATATTGTTGTTCAGTCATTTCAGTCATGTCTGATTCTTTGTGACCCCATTTGGGGTTCTCTTGGCAAAGATACTAGAGTGGTTTCCCATTTCTTTCTCAAGCTCATTTCACAGATGAGGAGCTGAGGAAAACAGAATTAAAGTACTTGCCCAGGGTCACACAGCTAGTCAGTGTCTGACGCCAGATTTGAACTTGGGAAGATGAATCTTTTTGACTTCAGACCTGGCATTCTATCCACTGTGCCAACTAGCTGCCCCCATCTAATATACAGATTTCTTTAAAATCAGGACTGCAATTTACTCATCTTTTTCTCTTCTGCAGCACTTAGCATATTGCCATGTATACAGTAGATATTAAAGTTTCTTTGATACCCTTCAGTGTCTTTTTATGTGCCCCTTTCCTATATCAGTGTCTTCTATCTATTCTCAAGACTTCTGATTTTCTTATACTAGTATTAGACTTTCTTGTCCTCAAGGAAAATATTCTAAAGAAGTAAGTTATCCTAAGATATTATTAATTACAATTTCAAGGAGTTAGTTTAAAAGAGAATTGAATGGAAAAAACCTTGCTTATCTGAAAGGAATGACTCTAATAGTTGAATGTCAGGGTCTGTTATCTGGATAGAATAGATTCTTTTGGGAGAAGAAGCCTGTTGGCAATTTTAAAATGGACATTCCTACTTTGCTCTTTCATGAGCTTGTTGACGATTTCTTGAATATTATTGAAAAAATTTTGAAAAATATAAAATAATTGGTGAGAACATTTTCTGGATGTTTTAAACTATGAGAACGTCAAAAAATCTTACATACCTGCAATTATTCAGCTAGAATGGATAAGAAATCTATTTGAAAGGGGTTATATTTTAGGAAAGCATGAATTTGCCTCAGATACAAACAGAATTTCATGCAAGAGCTTATTATTTAGCATGAGAGGATTCTGAAATTACAAGAAAATTTTGCCTACAGTGGCCAAAGAATGATGGTAATTTGGTTAATTGAGGGGTTAAGAGTGACAGAATAGTTGAATTTGAAGGATTCTTAAATGTCAAGTAATCTAGCTCACCACCTGATGAAAGGTGACCTCTTTTATCTTATTGAAAATAGTAATAAAATAAAGAATCCACTTTCCTGTCTTAGTAAATACAGAATTAAGAGCATATTCCAATCTTCCTTTGATTTAAGGTCTTACAGTATAATAATTCAGGACATCAATTCTCACTGTATAGTAATATCTCTATTGTGACAGTATAAGATATGAATCTGATTTCATACTTCAGCTTGAAGCTAGGGGAGTATTTTATCCTCTCTCTTCTGTCCTCCTCCCACTCTGCTCTCCTCTAAAATCTTAATATTATTGTATATCCATTCTCTTTCATTAAATCTTAAGGTCGTGGCTCTAGAGGACCATGGGACTTTAAAGACCATTTACCTCATTTTACAGATAAGAAAAGTGAGGTTCAGAGAATTTAAGTGACTTGTCCATGATCACACAACCAGTAAATATCAGAGACAGAATTTGAATCTAGGTCTTGTTAATTCCAAGTTCAGTATTATGTCACACTACCTCTCCAGTTAATTTATTTCTTTATTACATCTACCCCCTCAAACCAACACTTGCAACTGAAATTGGACTCATGGGGAAAATGTGAAGGTGTCTTTTCTTTCTCTTAGCACCAGGAAGGCTACAAGCATTGAATAAATATTTATTTAACAAAAACTATGCCCTGGGAAAGATACAAAAATGAACAACATATGGCCTCTGCCCTCAAGGGACTAAAATTCCAGTAGGGGAGGTAAGGGATATACAGGAACAATTATTGTACAAATCAAAACATGATGAATATACAAGGTGATAGGAGTTCAAATTAAGAGGAGTGTCAATAAAGGCTAGGTGTGAAAATGTAAAGAAAAGGTGTGAAAATGCAGCATGTGTACAGTGGATAGTTAGCATTACAATTTATTTTGCCTACTGAATTCAAGGAAAATGGAGTTCATGGGGGACTTCACTTAAAGTAACTGGGGAACAGAGGGGACCATAGGAACTCTCACAGTTTTCCCCTATTGTGGGCTGAAATAGATGGAGAACTAAATGAATTAGATAGAAATCCATGAATTAGCTATGAATATTAAATGTGAACTAAAATATAAGTTAATGGAGGACAGTGAAATCTCAGATATATTGACCATAATTAGTAATTTATACTAAATAAGTAACTGATGTTAGGCCACCACTTCACTTTATTTCCTTATTTTTTTAATTTTTTGATTTAGATCTATAATTTCATGCACATAGGGAACTCCCAGTGTGGAAACTGTTCCACTATATTAATCAACAACCCTTGAAATTTATAGTTTTAGAGAGTTGCCTGGGGTAATAAAAGGTCCTTCTGACTCCATGGTCAGCCTTCCTTCAACTATATCATCATGTTTCCTACTTCAGCTAATTTAGGTGACATAAAAGTGGAAAACTGCCAAAATAGTTCATGAAAAACAATTTCCTTGCACTGGATCCATGTGTCATTAAAGACTGAAAAGGATTTACTTAACTTCATTAATTTGTGCAACACTTATGAAAGTATCCTTTTGAGGTGCGATTCCATAGCTATTCATAGGCCTTTTGAGATCTGGGTGCTCTAAGAGATAATTCTTTATCCATGTAATAAGTTTACTTTATGGCTGGTAATCTAAGACCTCTGGACTTTACCATCTACGCCAGTGATGAACCCATAGGA